GCCGGTCGCTCTCACCCCTGAGTATCCGTAGATGTCCTCGAAGTAGCGGAAGCGAGCGACGCGGCCGCGGGGCCCCCCCGGCTCCTCGCCCCCCGCGCTCTCCGGCTTCTTCTTGGACTGTTTGAGCTTCTTCTCGCGAAAATTGATGTTGTGGGGGACCTGGGCGGGCACAGATGTGGCAGAGAAAACTGTGGTCAGAGGGTGGTGGGGCGGGGGGGGAGAACCATGCCGGCACGGCTTTTGGCAGAGGCTCGCCGGCTCTCACCTTCTTAAACCGGACTTTGAGGTTGCTCTGGCCCAGCTGGGAGTCGTGGCTGAAGGCCTCGTAGATGAGCAGCTCCTGCTCCACGTGGACCTGCGAGAAGGCGAGGGAGGCTGAGCCACCGGCATTCTGCCAGCAACCCCAGCGTGTCCCCCCCAAGGCCGTCGTCGTCCCCCCGGCAGCCCCTCACCAGCAGGTACGGCCGACTCTGGCGATTGCCCAGCGCCACCAGCAGCACCTCCTTCACCAAGGGCAGCTCTCCCTGCCGCGTCACCTCTTCTTTCTTGCCGTCCCCTTGGGCGGCCGGTTGTCCGAAAGAACTGTCGACCAGCACCCGCTGCCCCATCGGGAAGTTCTTCACCAGGAACACCAGGCGCCAATCCGGCAGCTGGTAGATCTGCAGCACGGCAAGAGGTCGGGGGGTGGGTACGGGCAGAGGTACGGGCGGGGAACACGGCAGCAACGGGCGGGCGAGGGTCCCCTCGTCCCTTCGCGGTCTCACCTCCATGGCGCCGTTCTCCCGCACCAGTACGCACCAATGGGTGGGCTCTGGTTTATACTGGTGGGGATCCCGGTCGGCGGAGGGGAGGCTGCTGCGACGCGGTTCTTCCTTAGCCGGGCTGAAAAGAGCCCCCGAATCTCCGTAGAGCATCTCCTCCTCGTCGTCCACTGTGTCGCTGCGCCCCGCCAGGAGAGAAACGCCGAGCCGTCATGTCCCCGTCCCTCGAGGGGACGCCGGGGGGGCGACGGCTCGGTCCCCAAACCCCCCCCTGCGCCCCCGAGAGCGCCCAGCACCCACCTGATGTCCTGGATGAGGGTCTCTGCCTCCGAGTGGGTGCGGAGGGAGAGCTCATCCCGGGCACTGGCCGCCCGGCTCTCCGTGGTGAACATCCCGCTGACGTCCCGGTAGAGGCAGAGGGCGATCACCTTGGATTGCTGGTGACACCGGAGAGGCGCGGAGCTACCGGGGGGCTGCCCGGCACTGCCAGCAACGCCGGGACGCCTCGGGGAAGGGGCGGTTATCAGCACTCACGTGGTGGAGCTGGGGTTTTTGGAGGGTGAGGCGGTGGGTCCGGCCCCCATACGTGTCGCTTTTCAGGACGAACATGGTGACCTGCCCCTCGGCGCTCATGATCACCACGAAGGGGTCGGCGACGGCGCAGTGGACGATCGGCGAGCCCAAATCCACCGGGATGAAGTGCAGCTGGTTCACTGCAGCCGGGGAGAGGTAAGGGGGATGGAAAGAGGGGGGGTGGTGTGGGTCCCACAGCACCCACGGGTGCTCCCCGCCTCCGCCGGCACCCACCTCCTTCCAGCAGCCGGATGCCCAGCGGTGACACCTGGACGATGTAGCGGTTCTCGCCGATGTTGCCGGCGAAGACGGTGGGACCCTGCGTGGCAAAGCCGCTGGTGTCCAGCTCCATGATCTCCTGCCCCGTCTGCAGGATCTGAGGGGGGGGAGACAGACACGACACCCACGAGGTGAGACCGAGCACCGGAGCCGGCGCGGCACCCCGGTGGGCTCCCCGAACCACGACGCCGTCCCCAGCCGGCAGCCGCACCATGGTGGAGTCCTCGCGGCTGAGGATGAGGAAGCCGTGCCTCTTGCCATCCTCCTCGGGGGGTTCGGGAGGAGCCGGCTCCTTCTCAGCGTTTTCCCCTGCGGCGTTTTCGTCCGGCTGGAAGGAGAAGCCCTGGTGAGGCTCGGAGAAGGGGGGGGAGATGGGATGGCGACATCCCCCGGGGCTGGGCAGGGGGGGGACGATATCCACAGCCACAACGGCCACCGACCTCCTCCTTCTTCTGGGGCGCGATGACGGTCCACATGTCGTAGCAGCCCGGCAGCTCGAAGGTCGTCACCACCTGGGGTCGGATGCTTTTCTGCGGGCGAGGGGGCGAGAGGTGAGGGAGGGAGCGGGCGGACGCCGTGGGGCAGGGACGAACCGTGGGCTGTGGCTGGGGCGATACAGGCAGCACCCAAGGCTCCGGGGCAGCCCTGGTTTTTGCCCAGCCGCTGCTGTGGCACCGGTACCTGACCTGCGGCGGACGCTCCTCACCGGGGCAGGCCTTTGCACAGTGCTGGGGGCTGGAGGTGGGGGGTACGGCTCACATGGGGACGGGGTCAGGGGGGCATGGCTCGCACGGGGATGGGTTTCGCACGGGGAAGGGAAGGGGGAGACCCTCGCGTGGGGATTGCCGTAACCCCCCAGCGCCGGTGGCGCGGTCTGACCTGCAGGACGGAGAGGGCTCCGTTTTTGCCGTAGCCGGAGCAGAGCACGATCTCCAGGTCTGGTTCCGGACTGCTCTGAAACTGGGATGGGGAGAAACGGCCACTGTCACCACCCTCCCCTTCCCGCCCCGGGGCCGCAGGCAGGAGCAGGCAGGGCTCGGGGGCTGCCCGTCCCTCGCCGGGACTCACCTCCTCCGAAAGGAACGCCGGTTCCCCCATGGCGGCGTTGGCGCAGGGGCCGATGTTGAGGATGCTGTCGCAGACCTGGAGGGGAAAGGACGAGGGGGACGAGGATGCGAGGAGGGGGTGACACGGGGAGGGAACGGGGGATCGGGGGGGTCGGGGTGTCCCCGCGCAGGGGTACCTCAAAGGAATAGGTGGCGAGCTGGGTGCCTGACTGCGCCTCGCTGCCATACACCTCGATCTCGTCCACCTCGTCCTGCGGCGCCGATTTCCCTCCTGGACGGTGGCACAGGGACAACCGCGTCACCCCCCTCCCCATCACTGCATCACCCCCCCCCCCCCCCCCCCGTCCCTCCCTGCGGTGACAGCGGGACCCCGCTTCTCCCGTAACCCTCTGTTTCCCACCCCAGTGAGGGTGGGGGGGATGAAGCCCCCAGTGTGGATCAGGGCTGGGGGGGGGCATTCCTGGCGCTGGCACCCACCTGCCCAGGTCCCTGAGGACTCCGACCGCTTCTTCTTCACCGGGGGCTCCTCCTGCGGGGGACCAGAGAGCTGGGATCCCCCCCAAACTGTCCCCACCAAGGCCCCAGCACTGGAGCTGGGCTCAGGGAGCCGGGATGGGGGGCTGGGGGTGGCAGTGAGTCCCATGATGGGGGTTTG